TTGTTGCCTTGGGTCAACCTTGACAGCACTCAGGATGTAACCTGGCAGCTCTCCAGCAACCAGACCAACTTCCAACTCCCAACCCAAGTCCCTACAGACTGAGCTTCTGCTGCCTATTAGTAGTTAATATGATATATAAAACTTGCACTTTTTCAGACAAGCACCTGAAGTATCAATCATGACAGTTTTCCTACTGACCTCCACATTAAAAATATTAATAGCAATTTACATCACGTATACATTGTCATTACCTTGGTGACAATGACCCCACAACTGCTGCTATCGCATTGAAATGGATGGTGCATGGTTGCTCCTTTCCATCTGACAGCCCCCCAGTCATCCCTGCCATGGCTCTCATCTTTAAGTAATCCCTTTGGAAAACATCAGGATGTAATAAAAAAAACATGAAATACCAATCACAAAGTACGATACCAGAGGCTACAGTCATATTTGAAAATGTTCAAATGTCTGTTCTTATTGCATATATTCTGTTCTATTCAGGAAATTTAACTAAAGAAACTGATACATCTTTTTAAAGAATTTCTTGACCTACCGTAGTCTTTTTGCAGCATGTGCAGACTCTGCTTCCTCTAATTTATTTGCCATAGGATCCACCAAAAACACAGAGCTGATTTCTGGAAATATGAACTAAAGCAAAACAGTTGAGTTATAAAACATCATATACACATAAGTAACACAAAAGTATTTCAGATTGGCAAAAACCACTAACCAGTAACTTCCAGTGCACTCCACCAACATTTACAAAACAACAAAAGACATCAAATACTTTCCCAATTAAGTTTGACTTTTCTCTTTTATCCAACTCCATCTTCTTCAAAAAGATAAATCACTTTGAAATATTTTGGAATTAAATGGCAGATTAGAAAACGCAAGATACTGTAATACAAAGTGTTCAAAGTGAAAGCTCAAAATCAGCTTTCTAATAATAAAAAAATGGCTTTATAATGTCTGAACAAGTGAAAGGTATGAAAAAAAGCAGTACCCTTGGCAAGCTGTGCCGACTGCGCTGGTCTCGCTTTCCAACAAGTATGAGTCCTGCTGTGAAATCATTTAAAATGTAGATGGTGTTCCCGAGGTGGAGTTCGTTGGCATAAAGATGGAAGAGGCCCTCCATAACCTAAATCCAGAAATTGATAGAGACAGAAACAAATACAGCTGATAAAACAATCATTTAAATCACAACAATACTGAATAACAGGTTAAGTTATGAACATTTTTTTACCTATTTTACCTAGATTTGAAATAATATTGTTTTTTTTTATTCTGGGTTACCAGGTTATCCTACTTGGTTATCTTTCTTTGTAGTCCCAGTGATGTTTCAATAATCAAATACCTCGCCTGTTAGCCATTGGTGAGGTATCAATGAGCACAGATCCCTGTGGTGTATCAGTAAACAACCTGACTGTGTTGTCGATGGAATAGCTGCCACAACAACCTGTGTTGTCTTCTGTTTCCACAATGATTTTAGCTGGAAAAACAAATAAAAAATAATCCATTCATTAGATATAGTCACATTAATATTACTGAATTAATCGTACATTTCACAAAACGTAATACATTTTATGACAGAATTGCCAAAAGACAAGTCAAAAAAGTAATTCAAAACACATGACAAAATACATGTAAAACTAAATCATCAGGTATTCTATCATGTATCTGAATATTCAAAGTTATTGTATCTCCTAGGCAAGACTTATATTCTTCATGTTGCATATCCATGTGTAAAATAAAATTCTGTCCTGAGTGATGAGGATGCCTCATACCTGGTCTTCTTCATTTTTAGTGATTTGCTCTGAGACTGGCAGGCTGGCTTCTGAAGTTGTTGCTCCTAGAATATCCTTACAGGCTCTTTCCATGTGCTTTACGGACGGCTCATCATTGTTCACGAGGTGAACCACTAGTTGATGAGGGTGAACCTTCTTCTGCTCGGTCTAAAAATCAGAATCATTGTCTACTTATGGAAGAATTCTTTTTTACAAGACATCAAAGTCAGAAAAAAAATCATTATAGTGATTTATAAGGGACTTTGTCAGTGGATTTCACAAAAAGTATGCAGTAAAAGTACTTCATAGTACCTGTGCATGTAGTCTAAGAAGTACTTAGTCCAACCATATCAGAATCATTTTCTAATTATGTAAGAAAATATATATAATTATTGTTTTCTCCAAGAAAACGGTTTTGTTTTATAAATTGTGAACACCTTATTTTGAAAAACGGAAGTTACCACAGACTCGCAGAATTATTCTCATACCAACTTCCCCGACCTCCAAAACTATTCCCTGTACAGTATTCTGTTTGCTCCCGTTTCATGCATCTGTACCTGCTGCTCGCTCTGCAGTCCGGAGCATTTACCATAAAGATCAGAATACGTGAGCACTTCAGATTTAGAGGCGGCTCACTTCACCATGTAAACTCGAGGAGCGGCTGACTTCACCGCAGCCATTTCTGGACATAACATCAGCAGTCTACATTACTGTGAGTGAAAGCTGAATCTGTGAATATCTTTCTAACTTTACTGAAGTTCTGAAGCCTTTAATCCTTCATTGAACGGTATGAACGGTTACGTCCACTGAAGATCATAAAGCCAATGAAACGTGAACACACCTTTTTATTACAGGTGATCTGAGGATCTGCTTATCTCTTTTTATCAGACTTTGACCCATCAGAGTCCTCGGTAGACTTCCACAACGATCCAACAGGTTTGAATATGTTTGAATTAATTTTGTTCATTTTGGGTTTATAACACGCTGAAAAACAATTTCTCTTTGTTTAAAGATTAAACACGCAGACTATATTTTTTATTTTCTTTGTGCAACAGATCCTCCCATGATGTGTTTACGGGACAACATTACGTTTAAAATACATGTAGCCTATATTCATATTATTTGTATGAGTCAATATATTCAAACCAAATACCTCCGAGTCCGATTATAACCAGCAGCTGGTTTTGATTTGAGTCTTTTACTCCGTCGGTAACCGGGACAAACTTTAACAGTGTGACGACAGAGAGGTGGTGAACTTCCTGCTGAGCCTTCTTTATTTAAAACGGTCTTTATATAAAACATTGAAGTCTATCTAATGACAAACTGTCTGTTTATGTTTAAATATTGTTAAATTCACTTTATCGCTGATTTTTCTTTGCAAATGAAAGTGAAACTAAACTGTTTAAAACGTGCAGAGTGAAGGGGGGGCTGCCCCCCTAATATAATGGTAGGGGAAACACTGCTCAGGTTACTCAAATAAATGTCCTCAAATACTGTCAAAGTTGATTTTTAACAATATGTCCCCTTTAATATATGAATCAATGGTCACTGCATGTGTTCTTGTTAGTAACTAAAAAGAAGAAATAGCACAAAGACCTTCAGTGAGTGCAGTGGATGTTTACCGTGACTTTTTTACTTCTCTGAGCTGTTCTGCAGCTAAACTTTGATAAAATATGATTATTAAAGCAGAAATGTGTCCGTTGATGATATTTAACTGAATGTACGCTCAGTGTCCAGTTTATTTGTTCCACTAATATGAATTATAAACAACTTCTTACAAACTGAGCAGTTAAAAATACTCACTAGTAACTAATTAAGGGTTATTGATTCAGGTTAGTGCAAGTGGAATTTATTTCTAAAGCTGGTTTGAACAAACTTTTTACAAGTGCAACAAGACTAATTCAAATGTTCTTGTTTATGATTTGAAAAGAAAATGTAGAAATTCACAGAGGTAAGTTTTGCACACGAGGTCGTATCACATCACAGATTTTCAGAACGATGATTAAAACACATGTGGAGTCTCAGAGACCCAGAAACAGATTTCTGTTCTGACAACCCAAACAAGTCAACCCTTCAAAATCATGTTTATAAACCATTCTAATAAATTAACTTGAGGGCTTTGAGGTCACCATCACCCCATACTGACGTTCATTTATTTACCTACAGTGTGATTACCTGTGGTCTCCGACCTGCAGGAGGCTTTTTAAGTGCTCCTCAGTATCGTCTTTTTTAATGTTTTATCATGCTGTATTTTACTTTTCAGAGCTCCAGGATGATTCACGTTTCCAACAGACGGTCCCTTCACTATCAGCATGGTGCCTTCACTGACCTGGTGTTCTACACTGTTGTCTTCCTCGCCCTGATGAACTCATGTAGAGGTAAGTTGCAAACATTACAAACAGTGTGGTTCATGTTGACATGAAGAGTTATTTAAATTACTGAAGTTTAAGTATGTGCTTCTAATGACACCATATGGCTCACATTTGCTGAGCTGTAGGAATAAAAAATGAATCCCTGTTTGTTTGCAGCTCAGTCTGAGGTGATCGTTCCATCTCAGCCAGTAGTTTCATTGGTGGGTGAAGACGTTATTCTGCCATGTCACCTGGACCCCGTCATGAATGCTTTTGACATGACTGTGGAGTGGGCGAGACCTGACCTGAACCCCAGATTTATCCTGGTGTGGCGTGACGGCGAAGAACTGGAGACTAAAAAACATCCGTCCTTCAGTGGAAGAACATCAGTGTTCATCGATGAGCTGGAGAAGGGAAACATCTCACTGAAACTCTCCAAAGTTAAAGTCTCTGATGAGGGAGGATACAAATGCTTCCTGCCTACATTGTCAAAAACCTCCACTGTTCAGCTTGTTGTAGGTAAGAGGACATGTTTTTATGATTATTTAATAAATGTTCATGCAGCGGTCGTGGATTTGCTGCTGATGAGAGAGGAATATGTTAGAAAGGATATGTGCATCCAAATCTTTCATTGGTGCTTTCAAAGTGTTTATCTGTCCAGACGATAACGACACACGACGTGATAGTTTGCACACAGAAACAACATGACAACATGTTCACAATACTATCAGTGTGATTGACTAAATTACTCAAAAAGCTTGTAGTGACCAATTTTAACAAACCCAATATTGTTTGGAAAAGTTACTTGAGGGATGAATGTGGAAGCTTTCGGACGCGTGCTTAGCTCGAAGAAATTAACACAGTCTGTAATGGCAATTTTCAAATTTTTTCCTTTGCTCCAATTATTGCCATTAATACACAGGTAGGGGTGAAGTCTTACGCAGATGCAAACAATGATTTTCCAGCCGTTATTAAAGTTGAGTTGAAGGTTTATTGAAGTGACTTGATGGAGATATGAGAACAAACAACATACCATTTCCAGTGAAGCGTAGCCAGTAGAATGAATGAATTGTAGTTTGTCTGAGTGCTGGTCTGAAACATGAATGCCGGTCTGGTGAGAACTGTCTGTGCTCCCCCTACCTGTGCCTTCCCTTTCCTGTCACCTGTGCCACTATGTACACGCCCCTGTGCATTCAGTGTCCCTAGTGGAAAATAATATATTCAGATAAATCTAATTATACAACATGCCAACGATAAACACAAAATGGCTCCTACACAGTCCATTGATGTTGTGATTTGGATTTTTCAATCCAATTATTTTTAAATACTTCTTATCAATAAAGGAAAATATGACAAACCACTACGTCTATAAATAAAACAAACAAATCTGCGTTGGATGCGTTTAACTCCGACAGGCACCTGTCACCTGTCCCACCTCACCTGGAGCGTTGCTTTAACCACAGCATCCGCCAAGGCTACACATAGTGCCCAGTAGAGGGCCAACACACACAGCCATAAGGAAAATAGCATCACACAAAACAAACACATCATTTGGCTCCAACAAAGCTTAAACAGCTTAAATGTTACTGTTGATGCACGTAGCAGCCATGTTGGATTTAACTCGAGCTACTGAAGGTTCTCCGAGTTTCCAGGTCGGAATTCTGACTTCAGAGGGGCGTTCCTGATGACGTATCAGACTTCAACTCCACATTTCCGATGTAAGAATTCTCTCCTCTACAGGTGCTGTCTCCTCACCTGTTGTTCAGATGACCAAAAACAACAATGGAGTGTTGTTAGAGTGTGAGTCTGCAGACTGGTATCCAGAGCCAGAGATGTTTTGGCTGGACGGCGAGGGAAACCTCCTCTCTGCTGAACCCACTGAGACAGTCAGAGGTCCTGATGGTCTCTACACTGTCAGCAGCAGAGTGACTGTGGAGAAGAGACATGGGAGGAAGTTCACCTGTAGAGTCACACAGAGGAAGATCAACCAGACCAGAGAGAAGCACCTCACTATTCCAGGTAAATATAAGTCATTCATTATTTAATGATGTAATTATCAAGATAAACAGTAAATACAAACAATATTTTCTTCTATTTCAGATCATTTCTTTGTGGTCCCTACTCCCAGTCCTCCCAGTCCTCCTGGCACTCAACATGTTGTTATCGGCGCTGTGATTGGCTGTGCTGCTTTGCTGTTCATTCCTGCGATCATCTTTGTTGTGTGGAGACAGAGACAAAAGAAATCCAGTAAGTGACAAACTGTCAGTCTTCTGTTTGTAAGACTCCTAAAGGTTTTATGAAGTCATGCAGACGTTTGATGATGTATTGATGAGACTAGAGTTCAAGAAGTGATTAGCATTTAGTTTTAGTTTCATTTGCATACATCCATTTATGATGAGGTCAGCTTTTATTCACAAACTTCACCAGTTTCTCCATCTTTTGAGTCTTCACAGAAAACAAGAAGAGGAGACGTGAGGATGGAAATAAACACTCTGAGGAAGAAAAGCTAGTCACATCTAAAAGTGATAAAACAGGATTTCAGGTTGTGAATGAAGGAGAAAAAGGAGCGGACAGTAATGAAAATCAAGAAGAGGTCATGGAAACACAAAGCAAACATCATAGGGGACGAGAAGAAAGAATCAGACGAGCAGCTGAACGCAGAAAAACATCTACTAAACCAGGTGGAAGAGTCACAGAGGAGGTAAAAGTAGAGGGTAGAGAAGGAAGGGATGAGGGGTCAGAAACTGAAGAAGGAGCTGAAATTGAAACTGGAAGGAAGAAAGAAAATGTACAAACAGGTTTCAGAGAGAGAGAGGAGCTGAGGGTCAAGAGGAACTGCAGGAAGAGGAGGAGTTATAGAATGATGAACTTCAACATGACACATGGAGGATCAAACCACAACAAACACAAGAGAGCAATGAGGACCAGGAGAGAGGTAGAGATTATAAGGCTTTGGAAGAAAACAGTGAAGAAACATGATTTTCTCCAAAAGATAAAACAGTACCAAAATGAGGAAGAGGGAGATGTTAGTTTGGAGTCTGAAGAAGAAACTTAAGAAGAGAAATATTAAACCAAAACATTTGATTGGACTCCACATGAAGAAGAAGCTTTGAGTAAAGAAGAGAAGGGAGATGAGCTGAAACAGAAAACAGTCGACATTAGGCGACTCAGCAGAGAAGAGGAACTGAATGATGGAGCGCTGAGCAGCTTATTTACCTTTTTCAACAAATCATTAGAGGGCATCTTTTCTCCTGTGTCTGTCATGAATAGAGGAATTACAGAGACCAAAACGTTTTTTACCATGCAGTAAACATGTTTCAAAGTGTTGTAAAGTTCTGCATTTTACATGGAAATTGACTCACTTTTGGCATCAACCTCAGACTACTCAAGGAGCTGACGTTGTTTCACTTTTTTCGGCTCCAGGGATTGGTGCTCTGTTTGTGCCAACGTTGTCAAGCTGGGATGGCGGGGGGGGGGGGGAGGTCATTACTGATGAGGCTGGCAGCAGAGGGGAAGAAGAAACTGCTCTTGTGGCTGAGGTTTTGGTTCTGATAGACTGCGGCCTCTAACCAGAGGGGAGGGTCTTGTGCACATTGTTGAACACTCTTTAAATTTGTTTTTGTGCTGTGTGTTTTGTGTGAGGTCAAATGATAAATTGTGCACAGCTGGAATCATTAAGTAAAGTTTGTATGTTGATTAAGATGCTTTTGTACCAACAGATTAAAACCACAGTGATCTTATATCATTTAAAAGCTTGTAGACTTTTTATGTCGAGTTATAGAAAACCCTCAGGAGACCTTGTATGACACTTCTCGCCTTTTTAAGCCTCATGTCACACACTGATGGCAGAGGCTGCTATGTGACGTGTCCATCGGTATAAACTAATCCATTTCTACACTTTCACACGTCTCTGATTCAGCAGCAGGAGCAATTCAGGGTTCAGTATCCTGAACATATGTCCCGGACATATGGCTGCAGCAGCTGGGGATTAGATCCCTTACCCTCCAGTTAAGAGACGACTCCACCACTGAACCACAGCCATCCAATTAAAAGTGAAATATCAATACAGTAAAATCTAAAGACTCTTCCCTTGTAATCAATCTGCGAGGCTCTATCAGAAATAATAACTGGACCTTGTGAAAATAATTTCATGCATAAATAGATATCGGACCTTCAGTGTATATTTTCCGTTTGGTTCTTGATCGCATTCTTTTCATATTTCAAAAAAGCTGATAAACAGCTACCTTATATATCTTTCTGATGGATGATAAAATACTAGATATTTTGTTTTAAAATATGTTAATTTTAGACAGAAAAAAATAAATATAAAAGATGTTCAAACTCAAGACAAAGCATCAACTTCACACAGTGTCCCATTTTAGTCATTTCACCTCTTTCTTCAGTTGCAATAGGAAGTTGACCTCCTGGTAGTCATCTTTCACTGAGCCTCATGAAACCTCGTGCAGTACCACAGATTTCCACAAGATGACGCTGCTGAGCTCCTGATCTGATGTGCGTTTGACCACAGTGAACTGAAAAAGAGGTGACCAGGCTGTTATTATGGAAACACGTTTATAGGCCCAGCTTCTCCCAAACACAACAACAGTTATGTAACTGAATGTTTCGCAAGTCTGAATCTGGAGCAACACATCTGCAGATAATAAAACAACACAATATCAATTATTGAAACTTAGAATAAGGATAAAACGAACATTTTCTTTATTAAATAACAATTTAAGGGCAAGAGGACGCTGATCAAAGTGTTCTTTAATGAGTATAACAATCACATGAGGTGGTTGATGTTAATACATTTAAATTCAAAATAATTTATTTAGTTCAAATTTATAATCAACGGTGGTTTACTTGGATGCCTCTTTGGTAGATGAACGTCCACTGCATGGTGCCCTCCAGTGGACAGAAAGTGTTAATGTGTCTTTCAATAAGGATTGAAGGATTCTCAGAATCCCATTATTATGCTGCTGACAAATCCCAGTCATAGTTCTGAGCTATACCAGTCAGCCCAGTGGGGACACTGGTACAGCTGTCTTTTATAATATTGGTGATGTTTTGTCTGTCTGTCTTATTACCCTGTGTTTTTATTTTGTTTCCTTTTTATATGTTTTCTAATGGACTCCTGAGTCAGGCAGTAAAGATGATGACTAAGTGGTAACGTGGCCTTCAGTGTGTCCACTGGTAAAACATGGAAAACTTGCCCTCCAGGGTGCCCACTTCATTGACATGCCCCTGTGGACCGAAATCCCCAATCCAGTGAACAGAATGAGTGGTTACTATCCTCCAGGATGTCCTTCCAGTGGACAAAACGTGTTCACATGGCACTGTACCACTTTTTGTCCACTGGAAGGATCCTGGAACTATTTCATTATCAATGTATGACGACTTAAGCGCTGGTGCCCCTCAGCATGAAGAAGGTGCCTTTTAAAAATTCCCCTGCCCGTCAAGCATCCCAAGTCCACCAGTGACTGTAGGCTACTTCTCTTATCCAAATGTTTACATCTTCAGAATACAATTATGAGTTTATAATAAAGATGTACATTATATTTCTTAAATGATTTAATAATGTTGATTCAATCCGTATGTTTATTTCAGACTATGGGCAGCATGTTGTTTAATAAATCCTCATCGGAGCTTTACTTTTATTTGAGTTTTTATTCTAAGGATAACGGACCGAACGGCTCGGCTTCCTCCGACTGAGCGGCGGCCCTACTCAAAGATCGTTTATTAAGACGATGACCCACGAGAGGCAAAAACGAATAATAAACCTAGAGGTTGAAAAATTGAAAATGCGAGGCACTTGAATAATTTATTTTGGTCAATTGAAGTAGAAAATGTAAAACAACATCAGACATTTCAGACATCTGTAGAATCAGATACAGAAAATAGATAATCAGAAAATACAATAGGGCAAAATAAAGACAAGGGGATAATGGGATTCTTCTAATAATTCTAAATAAGATTAAGTAATTTTTACCCCAATTTTCTAATCAATATACTTCAGGGCTTTATAATAAAGTGCTAGTTCTGTCAGTAAACTGTCAGTAAGGGTTGTGTCTTATTACAGTACGTTTACTTTTATGACTAAAAATGAATAAAACCTTTCTACTAAATGGAGACTGAAAAATAAGGTGGTATTGTCAGTATACCTGCGTGTGTACAGTGTATGAATACACAGCTGCCTATTTATTACATTGAGAGTGAAAAGGCGTAGTTCACCAATTTGGTACTCTGAAATGTGTTCAGAGTGAGCCCTCGTCTCAGTGCTCCCTCTGTGTTCTGCCCATATGTCAAAGTCTTTGTGCTTTTCAAGACAGGCGCGAGGCGACAGAAGGGAAAAAAACAGCTGGATCTGAGGATCTGTGCAGCTGTGCGGCTAGCTGTGTCCTCTCCCGGAGACAGCGCTTTCTTCCTCGGCTGTCGGACTGTCAGAAAAAAAGGTAACGTACCATAAAAGCTGTCTATGAGCCAGAAGAGAAAGGGGGTGGGGGGGTCGTTAACAGGCGCGGGGGTCGCCTCCACCTGAAGCTTCGCTTTTTGACCTATTTTTCCAGCAGGCTAACCAGCTAGCTTCACGTTAGCATCTGTGGACGCTGATTAGCCAGCTAGCTTAATGTTAGCTAATTAGCTTTCTGCTAGCTGTAAGGAGACAGAAGAGGGACACACAATCTTCTCTCTTTACACATTCAGGGTTTTTATTTGTACCTGAGCTAGCTGTTTTAGCTGCTGGTTGACTGGGCTCTGTTTTATGAAGGTATGGGATATAAATAATGTTCTTTAAACACAGAAACATGAGTAAAAGAGTTAAAAATGTTTGTTTAAAATGTTTTTATTACTTCAGCTTTATGAACCTGCAGGTGTTTTTCTTTATTCTTATTATTTATTCTTTATTATTAAGTAGTGTTTATGTTGAATACAAGGGTTAGATCATAGTTTTTAAAGGCCTGATGATTAAAAAAATCTCACATGATAAAAAAAATACAATAAAATAGTAATTGTTAGTTATAATCAATAATTTAATAATACAATAAATTATAAACAATAATGGATTTATAACAAGAGTAATAATCAGATAAATATCAAAAAATAACAAATGAACAAAATAAGATGTAATTCAATGTTCTTATTTAAGTAATGAATGTTTTATAGTGTGTGTGTGTGTGTGTGTGTGTGTGTGTGTGTTTGAGGGTGTGTGTGTTTGTGTGTAAAGATATTCAAGGCCTGTGTCTTGTGTTTTTTAGTTGTTATTGTGTCTGTGTCCTAGATTGTGTGTAGCTTTGTTTGACTGTGTGTGTGTGTGTGTGTGTGTGTGTGTGTGTGTGTGTGTGTGTGTGTGTGTGTAGGGCTGACCAAAACTCTTATCTTGATATTGTTTAGCTGAGTGATGACAACGGGGGGGGATGGCGTCCACACAGCGTCTCGGTCGCCGGCTTATAACTCTCTAAGTTGGTCAGCATGTAGTGCGTACGGCTGCACGGTACTAACCAGCCAACTCTGTACTGTTTGTTACAACAGCTGAAGCTAAGAGGAAGAGGACGCTGACGGGGGAAGCTAAGAAGAGAAAAGAGAGAGAGTGGGCGAGCGAGAAGCAGAGTTTACAGCTCAGCAGATTTTATTCAGATGAGACGTAACGTTTCGTTATCAGTGTCATCGTTGTCTCATGTTTAGCAGCTTTAGCGGCTGCAGAAAGTCGACTAACCCGAGTTATATCTCAGGTTTGATACAAATAAATCAATAAACCTGACACCAAAAAGTCGTCTCTACAACAAGCTGTAGACGCCAGCAGAGTCATATTCATGCAAATCATCAGTCAGTCGATATTTGACTTCTGTGGTTTCTAACAACACCGCTCCTCTGTTAACAAATGAACTTTATCTGCGATGGGGAGCCATGACAGCGCTGTGTGTATTTACGACGGTGCAGTCGCACTCGGAGTCCTTTAGTGGGCGCCAAATTGCACCAAATTAAATTCCTACATAAACAGTCATTGATCTACTCGGATCCTTTCCAATCCATGCTTTGAAAGTGATAACTAAATTTAAAATGCACATGTAGCCAGTGTAATAATTCGGCTACAGTTCTGGAGGGCCTTAAGCACAGTTTAGTAAAATGACACAACTCTACAATCATATCCAAGATCTTCCTCAGTGAGTGTCAACTCGCCTGACTCATTTCGATCACAGTAGCCAACATCTAACTGCTCCAATATGTGACCCTCTGTGACACTCATATTTAATGTCATGAGGTGTTTTCAGCAGTTTCACTTGACCTCTGAGAGACATAAAGTAACACAGATCTCCACTCGCAGAAAGACTAATCGAATCTCTCTCAAATTCCCCCTGGAAAACTCCCGTCCTTGTTTGTTGACTTTTCTCCCCAAAAAAATTCCTCTTATCTCTCTGAATGTTTTTGCGTCTCGCTGTCTGGAAGGATTCCGACT